AAAAAAAAAAAAAAAAAAAAAAAATATATATATATATATATATATATATATATATATATATATATATTATTTGTATTAAAATTACAAACTAATATATATACTAAATTTTTTATTATTTTCAACTTAATTAACTGAGAAAACCCAAAAAAAAGTGAGTGGTTTGAGTAATTTATTTTTAATAAAAAGAAAATGTAAATTCGTAAAACATTTATTTATTTTTAAATATTTAGTTAAATTTAATTTTAATACATATTTAAAAAAATATTATAAAAAGGAGTAGGATAATAAATAACAAAAAAGAAAAAAATTTAAAATTAAATAAAAATAAAACAAAATATAATTGGATATTTTAAAATTAATTTTTTATTTATTTGAATTTAGCTAATTCCAAATAATTTACTTACCCAATCCTTTAAAAATAGAATAGAGAGTAATATATTTAAAAAAAAAAAAATCCTCAAAAAGTTGTGAATTGACGCTTTTATAATAAAATCATTAAAAAATGATACAATAATTATTAGGATTTAAATTGATTATATTTATTTAAAAAAAAAAAAAAAAAAAAAAAAAACAGAGGGACAGAACTTGCAGAAACGTCAGTGTAATTGATTGTGTGTTTTTTCATGGAAGCTGGGTTTGAGTTTTTAGGCATACTTTGTTTGACCACGCTTCTTTCCTTCTTCACTCTTCACCTTCCACCTTATAAAACCCTAATCTCTCCACAATTCTTCACAATTCAAACCTTTTCTTTAAGCCTTCTTTGATTCATTCAAACAAACGCTCTAATCTTCGATTTTGATTTTGATTTCACCCTCTCAAACTCATCTTCCTCTGTTTTTCGTTGAGCTTAAAAACAGAGTCTCTGTAACCAAATCTCAAGAACATCAAGAACCCATTTAGTTTCTGGGTTTTGATTAATTCATCATGGGTTTATCCCTCTCGCTCCTTGTTTCTGCCTGGAAGGAAATTTTAGATCAAGGACTTTTAATCATATGCAAAAATCGCAGTTTCTCTGCTCGAGAAACTGGTCTGATTTTGAGATCAAGCAGCTTCAAAATTACAGAGCAACGATCCACCACGACCAGACCAACAAGAACCAAACCCAATAGCCTAAAAGGAAATAAGCCAGAGAGAGTGATTCTTGAAACGAACCTTTCGTTTAAGTCGCTGGTTGAAGATACGGGTTTCAGCTTCTCTGTTTCTGCTGACAAAAATGGTGGATCGGAGAGTTTTAAACCGGTGAGTCCGGCGGTTATGTACTCTCCGAGGCCGGTGAGTGAGTTGGATGCGGCGGCGGTGAAGTTGCAGAAGGTTTATAAAAGTTACAGAACGCGAAGGAACCTGGCGGATTGTGCGGTGGTGGTTGAAGAATTGTGGTGGAAGGCGATTGACTTTGCGAATTTGAAACGGAGCTCTGTTTCGTTTTTTAACATTGAGAAGCCCGAAACCGCCGTGTCGCGGTGGGCAAGAGCCAGAACCAGAGCGGCCAAGGTCGGAAAGGGTTTGAGTAAGGATGAAAAGGCTCAAAAATTGGCTCTTCAGCACTGGCTAGAAGCTGTAAGTTCTTCAAATTTCACCCCCCCAAAGTTCTTAACATACCCAAAAACCTTACATTTTTGCTTACTTTTTTGGCTACAGATTGATCCACGCCATCGCTACGGCCACAATTTACACTTATACTACGACGTCTGGTTCGTGAGTGAAAGCAATCAGCCATTCTTTTATTGGTAAGTCAAGTTCTTAGCTTTACTCTGTTTGGTTTCTCGGAAAATCCACCGGGAAAATACATCCACCGTAATTTTCTCAGTAACCAAACACAATTCCGATCAAAACCCATTTCCTAAAACACCTTGATTTGCTAAAATGCAGGCTGGATATCGGAGATGGCAAAGAATTAAGCCTGGAAAAGTGTCCAAGAGCAACACTTCAGAAGCAATGCATCAAATATTTGGGTCCGGTGAGTCTTCTTCTCCGATCAGCGCCGCCGTGAACTAAAATTCCCAGTTGAAAGAATTTTTCTCAAGAATCTTTTACATTTTTCTTATCAGAAAGAAAGAGAAGCCTATGAAGTAGTCGTCGAAAATGGGAAGCTGGTTTACAAGCAGAGCGGATCCATAGTGGAAACCCAAGAAGGTTCTAAGTGGATATTTGTTCTGAGCACTACAAGATCCTTATACGTCGGCCAGAAAAAGAAGGGCCAATTTCAACACTCCAGTTTCCTATCCGGCGCTGCCACAACCGCCGCCGGCAGATTAGTTACCCATGATGGTGTCATTCAGGTACTAAATCTTAAGCCCCACCATTCACCGTCGGTTAAATTTTTGGATGGTAATAATAGTTTATTCATTTGTTTGTTTTTGGTGAAGGCAATTTGGCCATACAGTGGTCATTATCATCCCACAGAAGCCAATTTCAACGAATTCCTTGGCTTCCTTAGAGAAAACCATGTCGATCTCACCAACGTGAAGGTAACTTTTTTACATTCTTACTTTTTTACCACCCCTTTTTACATTGGTAAAAAATGATGCTGATATTGGGTTTTTTTTTTTTATGTTCTCCCCCAGATGTGTTCAATTGACGATGACAGTCAATATAAGGCCGTCGATGAGGAACAGAAACCAGAATCACGTGAGGGTTCCTTCAAATCTACACCGTTGGATGAAGCCAAATCGACGGTTTCCATTGCTTCAGTAGAGAAAAAGATGACGGCAACCATGCCGCCGTTGGCTCAGAAGAAATCGGAGGAATTGCCGGCGAAGCAATTCGACATGTCGAAACGGTTGTCGTGCAAATGGTCGACAGGAGCCGGACCTAGGATTGGGTGTGTTCGGGACTACCCAGCTGAGCTACAAACGAGAGCACTGGAACATGTCAACTTGTCACCTCGGGTGGGCCCTGGGCCGTTGGTTAATTATGGGCCCATTCCATCTCCACGTCCAAGCCCAAAAATTAGGCTCTCACCAAGGCTGGCTTATATGGGCCTTCCCAGCCCAAGAACTCCAATCCCTACAGCCAGTTAGGCCCAAAATCGTTTTGCTAGCTCGGCCCAACAATAGCTGGAAATAGTCGATCCAATTGTTTCATTCTTTGTTTTTTTAAAAATAATATTCTTCAATTTTTATTAGGGGGCCTAATTGAGAGCCTAAGAGTAATTTGATTTGGCTCGAATTTTTATTGTTAAAAGAATAAGGTTGAGTTCTCAATAATCCCATGGTTGTATTATAAAAAATTAATGTTAGATCCTTATGAAAATTAAATTATTAATACATAAACGAAATTATGTAGTCAAAAGACGAAAAACTTCAAGCTCATAAAAGAATCCTAAATATCCTACAGTCGAAAAAGATTAGTCGAGGTACCTGAAAGTTGGCCCCAGCACCCCCTTATCCTTGAAGTATGACAGACACTAACAAGCCGCGTAGTGTTTGACCAACCACTTAGAAGTGAGGAGGGAAGGTGTGAGATCCTATATTGGTTGGAGAGGGGAACTTAACATTCCTTATAACGATGTGGAAACCTCTCCCTAGTGGACGGATTTTAAAAACTATGAGACTGACGACGATATGTAAAGGGCAAAATCGGACAATATTTACCAGCGATGGGCTTTAGCCGTTACGAATGGTATCAGAGCAAGACACCTTAGGGGTGTGCCAGTGGGGATGCTGGCCTCCAAGGTGTGGATTGTGAGATCCTATGTCGATTGGACAGGGAAACTAAATCATTCTTTATAAGGGTGTGGAAACCTCTCTAAGGCTGATGACAATACGTAACGGTCGAAAGCGGATAATTTCTACTAGCGGTGGATTTGGAGGCGGATTGCGAGATCCCACATCGGTGGGCTTGAACGGTTTACACGGGTGGAATCTAAAGGACAGAGGGAGAGAATATACACAAGTTAGTGTAGTGATTCATGAGGAGGAAGAGGAGCAGCAGGGATCCAAAGCTCAGGGAAAAGGGCAGTGATATCACTCTCTTCAACAAACAAGCTTCATTTAGAGAGGTGATCAAAGGTTTTGTGCTATTGAAACCATATGACGTATAGCCAATGCTTGAAAGTCTCAGCAGGGATGATCCACTCTTTCCCCACTCAATCATTACAACTAGAACAAATGAGAGACAAGTTTTTACAATAAGCTGTTTCATGGAACAAAACTGTTGAACTGGAAAACCAGACATCCTCAAATTGAAACAATGGAGAAGACAGGACATACTGTAAGCAGACAAGCAGCAGTGGTTTGGATTGGTTTGGTTTCTAAGAACTAAAATGGATTTCAGCAGGAACACTCAAACAAGTGATATCAGATCATAGAGAACAAAGAATTCTGTACTTCCAGCAGTAATTACACATTCAGACAGATTCATAAACCATAATATAACGAAACAAATGAATGGATTTCAGAACTGTAAGCTAACAATTAAGCAACAAAGAGTGTGGAGGAAAATTCTGGTACCAATTTAAGCCGCTTGCTACCATCCAAACACAACACGAGAGCATCGTTCTTTGAACCATCTGAAGCTCTTTCTTAGAGATCCTTTGACTTTGCCTTCCACAGAATAAACCTTGTAGCTAGCAACCCTTTTCTTTCTCTGAATCTCTGGATCGTTGAAACTCCAACTCTTCGACGAAAATCCGTTCGTCGATTTCCCTTTCTTGAGCTTCAAATCGTTGCTCATCTGCGTTTGATTAGGGTTTGCAGACGAAGCATAAGAAGCACTGTAACTACGAAAATCTCCGCCGGAAACATTAGGTCCTCTCGCTTCGTTTCCATTGTAGCTCTCAATCTGCATTCTCCCATCCGTATATGAGTTTGATTTGAAATCCGCCATGGAAGATTGAAGATCCGAGACTTTGAGGTTCGATGCACTCGAAGAGCTCGCTCCCTTCCTCGCACCAAAAATTCAATGAGAATGGACTTGTGCAAATAGGAGGTGGAATTGAAAGCCCTTTGATAATCTTTGTAAGAGCCGAATTGAACAAAAGAATGACCAAATTCTTTGACCATGGTTCAAAACCCAGAATTTAGGCAGTTTCGTTGTCTCTAATTAATAATAATTATTATTATTATTGTTTACTGATCTCTAATTTATTTAAATACTTTAGTAAGTCAACTCACGGTATAGAAAAGGTAATTTTCGGAAACTCGTACTAGTTTATTACTCACCATCGTCAAAGTAAAAGTTACTGAAGAATTACTATATTGAGAGTTCAAATCTCGAATTATCTCGACTAGTTCGGGAGCTGATTCATATGTGAAAATTTCTCTAACAATATTCATAGTGCTGACTTGTACTGTTACAAATGGTCTCATAGCTAGACACTAGAGCGAGTTAGGAACCTAGACAGGAACAAAACATTCTTTATTCCTTATAAGGATTACGTGTTTTAAAACCTTGAATGTGCGATCGAGTACGCTGTGCAGAACCTTCCTTATTCTGACTTGTTTTAAAACCTCGATGGAAAAGCCAAAGATGACACGGTGGGCTCGTTACCGTCCTTGGAAAAAAATGGTTTCTCCTCAAATTGGATTAATATCTTCCCTTGGAAGTAATTTTAATAATAGGATAAATAGAGTTGGACAATATTGGAAGTAACTCCAATGAATATTTCAAAAGAAAAAAATATAATTATATTAATAAAAAGAAACCCGAAATAAGGGCAAATTTTCGGAGGCCCAACCCAGTACAAAAGCCCATTTTATGAGGCCCAAACCAGTAGAAAAGGCCTCATTGCAATTAACGAAAGCCCATTTTCCGAGGCCCAAAGTAGTAGAAAAGACCTCCTCGCAATTCACGAAAGTCCATTTTCTGAGGTCCAATCCAGTAGAAAAGGCCTCCTCGCAATTCACGAAAGCCCATTTTCTGAGGCCCAAACCAGTAGAAAAGGCCTCCTTGCAATTCACGAAAGCCCATTTTCTGAGGCCCAAACCAGTAGAAAAGGCCTCCTTGCAATTCACGAAAGCCCATTTTATGAGGCCCAAAGTAGTAGAAAAGGCCTCCTCGTAATTCACGAAAGCCCATCATGTCCAATGTCGAATTATGTCGAGCGACCAGAAATTGAGAAATAGACTTTGAACAGAGAACCCTAATAAACCATTTCCTTTCCACTCGCACCCACTTAGGATCTGATTCTCTCGTCCCACAAGTTTCTTCTCCAACTCATTCTCTCATTCTCTCATTCAGGTGCTTCCTTTCTTCCTCCTCCTTCTCTCATCTCATTCCAATTCAGCGTATTTTTTATTTCCTAATCTGTCTTAGATCCTTCTTCGTTTCCTTTATTTGGTTTTTGAGTAACGTTTCGCATTGGATTGTAAGGAATTGATTGTTTTAGGCTTTATGATTATGCAGTATTTGACGATCTGCTGATTGTCTAGTGTGTTGTTATTGTTTATGAATGTTTTCTGGCTTTGAAATATATGCTGTTTCCATGCCATCGGGGTTTTTTTTGGACGGATTTTAAAGAGTGTGGTTTCTCAGGTAATTCGGATCAAGTGCGACGATTTTGATTGATTGATTGTCACAGTTGATATTTTGTTGAGATGGACGATAACAATCGTTCTTCAGGACCGCCTAAGGATAATCCAGATCATGGAAATCAAGCAGGCCAAATTACCAAGGATGATAGCAGCTCATTGGAGAACATGGCTCAGAGGTTTCAAGATTCTTTGTCCACTAGCAAAAGACACAAATTCTGGGAAACTCAACCTGTTGGACAATTCAAGGACATCGGGGATTCTAGTTTGCCTGATGGGCCAATTGAACCACCAACTCCATTATCTGAGGTCAAACAAGAGCCTTATAATCTTCCTAATTCATATGAATGGACCACTTGTGACATGAGCTCTGAAGAGATTTGTATTGAGGTTTACAATCTCTTGAAGAACAATTATGTTGAAGATGATGAAAATTTATTTAGATTCAACTATTCCAAGGAATTTCTTGGATGGGCTTTGAGGCCTCCGGGCTACTTCACAAGCTGGCATATTGGTGTTCGTGCTAAAGCTTCTAAGAAATTGGTTGCTTTCATCAGTGGTATCCCTGCCAGGATTCGGGTGCGCGACGAAGTCGTGAAGATGGCAGAGATCAATTTCTTATGTGTTCACAAGAAGCTTAGATCAAAGAGACTTGCACCTGTTATGATCAAAGAGGTCACAAGGAGGGTTCACCTGGAAAATATATGGCAAGCGGCTTATACCGCTGGAGTTGTTCTTCCAACCCCAATTACAACTTGCCAATACTGGCATAGATCCTTAAACCCAAAGAAGCTAATTGATGTTGGGTTTTCAAGGCTGGGGGCAAGGATGACGATGAGCCGGACCATAAAGCTTTACAAGTTACCTGATTCACCGGCTACCCCCGGGTTTCGCAAAATGGAACGTCGAGATGTCCCTGCCGTTACACGGTTGCTTAGAATGTATTTGAGGCAGTTTGATGTTGCTCCAAATTTTGATGAATCTGATGTAGAACATTGGCTTCTTCCCAAGGAGAGCGTAGTAGATAGTTTCTTGGTTGAGAGTCCGGACAGCCATGTGATCACCGACTTCTGCAGCTTCTACACTCTTCCTTCATCCATTCTTGGAAACCAAACATACTCAACCTTGAAGGCCGCCTATTCCTATTACAATGTCTCCACCAAAACTCCATTGTTGCAGTTGATGAATGATGCTCTTATTGTTGCAAAACAGAAAGATTTTGATGTCTTCAATGCATTGGATGTCATGGAGAATGAATCCGTCCTGAAGGAACTAAAATTCGGTCCGGGTGACGGGCAACTTCACTATTACCTGTATAATTATCGGATTCGGCACGCGTTGAAACCAAGTGAACTTGGGCTTGTACTGCTATAGTTGGATTTGTTACTGGTTTGGTTTGAATTGTGAACAGAAAATATTGGTCATTTTTTAATGGTGGCTTGGTTTGCTGATGCATTTTAGCTTTGTTTTGTTCGTCTTGTGTCAACAGCAAAGAGCACTAAACACTAAACGTCAGGTGTATGAGAGGGAACTTCGCCGGATAATGTAAAATGTTTTGCAGGTTTTTCACTGAATTATCTTTTTTTTTTGGGCCCATCCTCGCAGGATTTGCAGGTGCAGCCTGTTTGTATTATGAATTGCATACTTTTTTATACTTGCATGGCCCAGCATGTGTGCTTATCGCTTGTTCATTGCTATGATCAGATGTCCATTCCATGTACTCCATTGATGAATAAGGGAACTTTCCTTTAGAATGGAGACGATTAATTATTTAAGTGAATCATTTTTACTTTATTATCTTCCAACTATTAGATTTAGCTTGGAGGTTCTTAATTTCATTGATTAAATCCTTTAAGACGCATCGACTTAAACATATCATGTTTGTTTTTGCTCTGTAAGAACTCGAATAATACAAATTTAGAAGCATTTGATCCTAGATTTGGATAGAAATGTTTGTACACTTATAATAACCTATGCAAAATATCCGATTAAAATTAGTGAATTGACCATTTAAAATTGACTAAAAGATCAACCAATCTAAGTTTTGAGATTCTTTCAAGAACAAATGCGCATCTAAGTTTTGAGATTCTTTCAAGAACAAATGCGCATCTATGAGGCTTAGTGGGCGAGCTCAACCACCACCAGCTTAGTATAATAATGGACACTCCTTAAAGAGAATAAAACTCATAACGTAGTTTTGAAGCATCAAAAGATCAAACAACCAAATAAACTAAAAAGGAATGCAAGTGAGCTCATCACCTAGTCAATCCAACGTATTGGTTGCTTCTATCTCACTCATTTCATTCACATCAATCCAATTAGTTTATTTCAATACTATTTAAAAGCAAATATGTAGTTCCTTGACTCGAGATCCTCGAACCACATGAGCTTATTGACCGAGCTTCTAGGCTCTTCAGAGGGTAGGAATTCATCCAAGCAACCTGGCTAAGCAAGAATAAAGCACATAAAGCGACTCAATTGAGTAAACCACCTCCTTCCTAAACTTTTCCATTAACAGTTCCATATTGGTCTGGTGGTGCTTTCTTCAATGTTCGGTGGGGTTTAATAGATTCTTTTATGAGCTCAGCTAAGCAACTATACAAGCCAATCCTTGACCAAGGCACACACAAACACAAGCACAAGAACTCAGAATCCAACTCTACCAATCAAGGGTCGTAACATGTCACCAACAACTAAGAATTTCTGTAACAACTAGCTATCATACCTCACCAGATTCATATCCCAAGCAATCACCTCAAGCACAGTTAATACAACGAGTAATAATGGTTTTTCAATGTGCTCCCAAATATTCCATTCAAAACCTTTTCTTCAGATTTGTTTAGTTAAAAAAATAGCACGCACATGTTTCCTTTTTGATGTGTGGAGAAGATAGACGTGTATACTTCAGAAATCAGAAGGCAATCTGAAAGATGATTACTATGAGAATAGGAAATGGTAATTGGCACAATTTAACCTGCTTTATATCCTAAAGCATAGATGCTGTCTCCCTCTTTCTGTCAAAGTTGTCTTAAGTGACATCCAAAGTTAATTATTATCTTTTTAAATTCTAGCTTCTTAGCTTGCTACGTATCGACACTGCATTGGTCACTTATAATAACATTAACTATAATTTCTTTCATCACTATTCTCCTAGTTCAAAGAGATAGCTATAAGCGATTATTCAAGAGGACAATCACAATAGGTCATACAAAACTCCCTGTCCGCAAAGGACATTATTCAATAGGACAATCACAATATTGACCGTACAAAACTCCTCGAATTCTTTGTTAATTCTATGACAACATTAGGTAAATAATACATCGAATCTATATCAACACAATCTACAAATACCTTTCCACTGCCCGTCTGACGATTGGGTCTCTACAATCCACGTCCTGTAAGCTTCAGTATTTTTTGAAAATTAAGAGTACACAACACATTTAATATCCTACGAGTTCTTGACTAAAATCTATTAAATCGAAAAAAATACCCTGAGATAAGTAGAGGGTATAATCCTGAATTAGAAAACAATATTACCTTT